AGGGTTGAGGGGTTTCGGAAGTTTAGCCTGTAGGGTTCAAAATTCCACGTCCAAGCATTCACTAGTCAAGCAGCCTTGTCTTTAGGGTGGCTCGAATGGCTTTAAACCGGCCACTCAAAAAGTACGCTGTGTCAAACACTCATGTTCAAAGGCTGAACCAGGGAGGATGGAATGTACAGGTGAGGGTTCTTAAGGGCCTTAAGGCCTTAAGGGGTGGTTCTGGCTAACTGTGGCTACCCGACTTAAACCCTAACCCCTAGACCTGCGCGGGGGGCTTGAGCTATATTTGTGAGGAGAGGCGGGGAAACATCGGATTCAGTGGCAAAATATGCTGGGGCAAGCGAGGCTTTCAATTGTGGGTTTGGGGTCCAGGACTCAAGATGAGAAAGGTGCTTAAGGTTTTTTGAATCAGCATAGCGGGGACTTGGCGTCCCTCTAGGCCCATATCCCAAACCTTGCATCTCATAACGTGGCATTTACCGAGAAGGCCCGTCACAAGGCGTGATTCTCTCTCTATGCAATGCAACCAAAGTAAAGGTTTCGGGCTCTGGATTTCCGAGTCGGATTTTGAATTTAGGGGCTTCAGCATGGGTTTCTTCGGCGCTTGGCCTGAAGACACAATCTGCAGCTCTTGCCGAGGTCGGGTGAAGTTCCTACGTACATGTGCATGATTATTGTACAGTTCTTGCTTCATGTTGTCCGGAAATTACTGCCCAGCGCCATTGAACCCTACACCCTGCAGGCGTTCATGGATTGCATCTGGCTGCAAGCTGGTCCACAACGTACTGGGACGCAATGGTTGGGGATGCAACTGGCATTAGCTGCCAGTAGTAAACGAGGTCTGCCGTGTCAGACACCCAAAACACATAGCCCTCGCCCTCAACCCTGACCATCGACCCTAAACCCCAAACCCTAAACCCAAGCCTGAAAACAAAACATTGGCCTTGTCGTTGTCAGCAGACCACTCGCACTGCCACTCACGATCTATGGAAAGCAATTATCATAGAATCTAGATGTTGTATGCTCGTTTTCAGCTCCAATCCCTGAACTGCACACTCTGTCAAGAAGCTTCACGGACTTGGTGATTTCCAGCATGAGCCACAAGGGCGGTTCCAAATCAAAATCGCGCGCTTGAGCCAAGAAGCACTCGAAAGGAAGCGCTGTTGATTCGGGGTTGTGGTGGGTTTGGGCTTAGCCGCAGTCGGCTCAAGGCCCCTGATATAGACCACTTTGCAACCAACGGTGAGCCATCAATGGGAAAAGAGGCATCACAACACCGCAATCAAACTGTTCGTGCAAAGAGCACAGTCGGCGGATTGTCGTGTGCCAGAGACGGAAACTGCTCCACCAGAATTCTTTCGATATGGTGGGCTTGGCCCCAAGGCAATCATGCTTCAGGCAAGCGCAGGGCTGGCGCCACTCTGCCATGCACGTGTGTTCTTTATGGATACTGGGTTCTCCAGCATGATTTGGGCTATAACCGTTGTGGCCTGTCGGGTAACTATCTCTTGACGCACTGCTGCTGCGATGAGAACATTGCAAACGAAACCGCTCAATTACACCCACCCAATACATCGCCGATCCCTGTAGCGCCAACGATATACCCTACTTAGGCGAATCTTGGCAATAAGCATGGTACCATGACCAGCGGAAATGTCAGCACAAGCCGTGAACAGCATTTTAGCTACCCTCTCCGACTCAGGGCACAACTTCAACATACTGCATGCTGTGATTTTCCTCCGCCTGAGATGCAATGGTCTCTCACAGTGCTGAAAGGGCAAGCCGAGCTGCCTCTTGAATGCCTCCGGCAACTAGCATCTCAGCTGAGCCCTTTGAAACATTTGAAGCACATGCTATGCTGCTGCCAGACTGGCAGGGTCTATACATCTTCCGTCCATGCTAGAACCGCTCGAACCTCCTCACAGTGTACTAACATGAATCTCATCAGCTTGACTGGCCGTTGCCTCCTCGCTTGCTTGTGGATGTTCAGCTTCACCGATCGCTGCTTCTTCATTTGCATCTGGATGCTCGCTCGCTTCCACCTGTGGCCACAACCTCTTGGCCACAGCCTGTGCCGCGCAACAGGCAACCCCGACGCCTAAGATCAAGACGGAGATCATGATGGTACCGACCATGTCACCAGCCTGAAGGCCACCAAGCTCGCTCCTCTCCAGAGCCTTGTCGCAATTTGGAGCAGGAAAGGCAAATTCGTTCGCACGAATCGCATCCTGCAACATGCCTCGAGCTAGCCCAGTTGTGAGTGAGTATGACAAGCTTCGCAATGCTCTTTGGCTCAATGGGAAAGCTACAGGAATAGCCCAAAGGATATCTCCGACCCTGTCAAATTTACAGTCGTTTCGCGGGTTTCCTTTAGAATCTGTCCTGCAGTGGGCCTCCTCCTCAGTGATTGAACCGGCGGCAAGATCTGCACAGTCATTCTCCTGAACTAGCCCCGCATGGAGCCTGTCGATGAGGTCTTGTGAGAGGATCATGGCACCGCAGTTCCCGGAGTAGATATTACGGGCTCCATCCTCCATGCCACTTCCGATGTTCACAAAGATGGCACGTGGATACACTTGGGTAAAAGTCGGGACAAGCTGAGACACGAGGCAGATGGGAACTTCGAGATCGATGGCATCCTGAATGTTGGAAATCGGTGAGACGGCTTGCTTCTGAGTAACCAGCATTGAAGCCAAGCTTGCTGTGTAGCTTGCAAGAGTGACCAGGACGAAGAAGGAAAACCCAAGGCTCAAAAGCTTGAGTGCTGGGCTTCTCTCTGTCTCCACAGTGCTCTGCCCGAGCAAAAAGTCATGCCACACGTTGAAGCAAGTCTTGCCTAGCTCAGGAACCTCCGAGAACCCTCGGACAGGACCAGGACAGCCCTGGCCCTGCTCGAAGTAGTGCAGAAAGTACAGGAGCAGTGACATCCCGCACAGAAATGCTGCAAGAACTGCCCAAGCTTCTAGGGTGAATGGAAGGAAGGGTCTGAGCAATCGTTCAGAGAAGCTAGCATCCTGCAGCGTTGTTGGCACGACCAAATAGAAGTAGTCATCCCTCAAAGTGGGCGAGAACGTTGACAACTGCTGCCTCTCAGGGGTGAGCCACAAGTCCGCGACGCACACATCGAAGACCCCGATGCCTACGTCGTGCACGCAGGCTGTGTATGACGACGACGGAAAAATGGCCCGGGACTGTTGCGTAGCCCATCCGGGTATAAGCTTCATTACTGGTGGGGGCTGAATGAGGACCAAGGATTCGACGAAAAGGTCATAGAGTGCTCCACCGAAAACGTCCTGACCCAGGGCATCTTGCTTGAGAATCACCCAAGAACCATAGGCAGATGCTGCGACCTTGATGGCCGTCCCACCAAGTTGGGAAAACAGTGCACTCAAATCATAGTTGTTCATGTACCCGCAGGTTTCGTAGCTGTAGTACAGAGACATGTTGGTTTGCATGGTAGTTCTGGAATGTGGCCGCGTGCGGCAGTGTGGGGAAGCATCACTTCCCTCCAAGCCTCCCTCAGCCAAGCAAAGAAGCTTGTTTACTGGGCACAAAGTCATATCCACGTAACACCATTGGTTCATGCAGTGAGGAGCAGCATTGGATTCGCAACCCACCGAAGAGCTGTTTGCATCGTATGCATCGCATCCGGTCGTGCCGTAGCTTGCCTCATCAAAGCGGAAATGGATAGAAAGGCCCACGATGTTCAACATGCTTATATAGTTATCTTTTGGGGGGCAACCACTGCAATTGAAGAAAATGGTACTGAAGCCGAAACAACCAGGTTGCATCCAAGCCCTGAGCCACCAGTTCTGTCTGCAAGTCCGTAAAAAGGGTTGAAGATGCGTTGATGCACGGGCATTCCGGCGCATATTCTGCAAGACATAGGCTCCCAGCCGCAGCCCACGCCAGCACGCGCAGCACCATAGCGAAAACATGCAAAACTGAACAATTTCAGCTGCGTCTGCATACGTACGACATCCGTGAAAGACCATTAGCAGAACCTTCACAAGTTCGTGCATACCTACGTCTTGAACTCATTCGGCATGCCGATCGCGATGCTTGCCTGTTGGCTTTCACCCTTTGCGCATTGAGTGTTGACTGGACACCATGACGCTCTTGCCGTCCTACTTGCAAAGGCTGGGTCTTGAAGTTTGTACCGGCAGATTTTGTGGAAAAAGGTAGCTATGTGCAAGCTCAGCCCACCAGAAGAGTATATCGATGGTTCTCTGCAGTTGGTGATGGCGACAAGGCTTCATCTTTTTTCTTCGGGGCTTCCAGCACGGATGCCAGCACGAATCCCGCGCCAGCTCTTGGAGAAGAACTTAGGGAAAACGGCCCCAAAGAACAGGTCAAAATCTATAAAAGTTGTTAAAAAACCCCAAGCCACGGCAGCTGACCAGGGTTTGCTTCAAGGGTGAGCCGCTTGGGGGTCTACTCTGGAGGCCCCTCCAGCAC